GGGGTGGGGGGGGCATGAATGGTTACGTTCAGGCGGCATCTGATCCTGTGATGAGTGCCGAAACCCCTGCACCGTCTCGAAATCATCAAAACCAATGTCAACGAAACATTAGGTGGCCCGTTGCGTCTCTATGCAGCTTGCCCATTAAAGAACGAGAGAACACGATCAGCAGGCAGAGCATACCGTATTCTCTGGATTAGAAGACGCTCGGGGAATTCAGACGCGCGAAGCGAGTGTGCCCGGCGTCAATCAAGTTATACGAATCTGGTCACACGCAGACACGCGCCTACGGGATGACAGTATAAGATGCACCCCCCAAATGTTTTTGCGTTAAATTACAAGGGATGAAAAGTGGGTGTTATATTCGAGAGAATACGGTATCTGCTAAGATGACCATCTGGTTGATGACCTTGACAAGATATCCATCCGTTTTAAAATACGTTTTGCGAACCTATCAAATAACGAAAAAAAAAATTCGACTGGTTAATGACAAAGGCGACGTGACCCAGCCGAGACAATTCTAATTCGAGCCGCGAGCATTATTATCGCACGCCGTTTTGTCGCGCATCGCAAGGAATTTTCGGAGAGATATTTGAAACCTGATGAGTTATTGGCATCTCCCCGTGTCGGGATCATCGTTAATCAAATGCTCAAATGACGCAAGCGGTGCCATCCATCACAGTGTGATGAAATATCTAGCAACAACAACAACAACAAAATATTGTTTTTCCTTATTTAACGGAGACATTGGGATCGTTGAACGGCTCTGTCTACATCTGCCCATTAATGAGCACAAAGGCCATTGGGGGTTCCATCCCAAAGATGTCCGAGCCAATGTATGAAAGCGTGGGCGTGCACGGTATTAATGGAGCCCCCACTCTGCAATGAAATCATTAGCTGGTGTTGAGAGATGAACGCAACCTTTGGAGAGCATGGGTCGATGTGACCTAACCTGGCCGTGGGAGGATGGGGAACGCGGTGGGGGGGAGGGGCGGGTGCATCAGTGCTGGAGATAAAAAATAACAGAGAAAGGTGCAGCGCTGGAATTGCTTTCTCAAGCCACTGCTGACAGAAGGGCCTCCACTAGAGGGAGCTGTAGACAGCTCCTTTTGAGGAAGTGTTTGCCCATCCATGCGAGCAAGACGTTTTGTAAATGAAAAGGTGGCAGTACCCACATTCTACCCCACCACGTGCAACCTGCCGATCGACTGTGGTTCAGTCATTTGTGCCGCTGGGTGGATATCGGCGGTAGGGGGTGGGGGGGGGGTTAAAAAAAAAGTTCCCCATTCCTTCAACTGCCGCGCCGGGAGGTCGCAAGTCCAGCACGCGAACCACGACACGCACCGCGGCAGGCGGGAGTCCTGGGTCACCTTCACAGGGTGCTTAATTTAGTGTTTTAACACTTCTGAGAATTTGCAACAACACCACGAGAGATGCGCTGCCTCCGAGCTCTGGAGACCACCTGGAGAAGATTCCAGGCGCGCGTTGACAACGATGGCGAACAAGTGGGAGAGACTCTTTGACTTGTTGAAGCTGCTAACATCACATTTGTTATCACGTGGTAGTTTATTATCCATATTCTTAGGTTTTTTTCGGTAAAGTCACGTAGGTAAAAAATTTAAATTAATAAAAGTAAAAAATTAAATAAAAATCACCACGTTTCGGAGGCAACACAAGCTTCCGTCTTCAGGTGGAACCCTCACTTGATACAGCTATCGTGCTGTGACGGTTCCACATGAAGACGGAAGCTTGTGTTGCCTCCGAAACGTCGTGATTTTTATGTTATTTTTATTTAACTTTTATTAATTTTAATTTTTTACCTACGTGACTTTACCGAAAAAACATAAGAATATGAATCCTTGCAGTCACGAAGAGAGGGTCAGAAGACACAAACTCTCGCCACCTTGGTGGCGGTGACCTCAGCACAACGCCTCTGCAGGCCAGGTGCACTGATGCCGGCAGGAGGTCACGGCACAGACCCAGGTGTTGTGGTTTCACTGACTGAGATGACTGGCAGATGCACCACCGCGTGCTCCCTGCTGTGTCATACTTGCTGCGTTTTATACGTCCAGCGCTCCGCTCGTTGTTGTGAGCGTCGCTCCTCTTGCCCTCCGCTGCTGCTGGAGGGCGACTGCCTCCAACTTCCCAGCAGCAGCGTCCTTGACGAGCCTCTTCACGGATTTTGATTTCACTTACGACCACGCACTATTAGCCGTGGCCCCGACTCAAACTTGGCTTGCACAGTCTGCAACATTGTGCCACTGCTACACCCCTCCATAAGTTTAATAAACAAATTAATCACGAGTAATTATGTTTGATGATTGATTTATTTGTGTGTTATTCGAAAGCCACAAGCTTCAAATCTAGTTTATTATCCGTTCTTTTTCCATTAAAAACGATGGTCCCATGTATGTGTTAACATCTTTTTGAAGCCCCCTGTTTATCGCTGCGGGCACGGTGCGAGTGGGTAGGTGGGGGGGCCCGGAGGTGGGGGCTGACGGCTGTCTGCTGCTGCTGCCGCCGTGCTGCGTCGCGAACATTGGAGAGTGGAGGGCGGGAGGTGTGGAGTGGGGGGGGGGGGAGCTTGAGGTTCCTTCCTTTCCAAGTTTGATGTCCTTCCCCCGCACCAACGATAGAGCACAGGTTGGCTACGTACAGCGATAAAAAAAGTTCAACGTATACGCACATCCTTTGCATCGATGCGGACGAGTGAGAGTCGCCACGTTGTGTAACATGCACGCGCGGCGTGCGCCGTTGGGGTTCGTGCGACTCGTTACAGGCAGAGGAAGCGATGCGCCCACTCGCTGCTGCTGCTGCTGCTTCTGGCGTTAGTTTGAGGTTTGTACCCAGCCCGTAGCAGGAGTTGTAATTGAAACGCAACCCGGGGGATTTCGTCAGCCCCTTTGCAGTGAAACTGGCTGGTGACTCAGCGGACACAGCGACTTCGCGTGCCGCTTCACGAGGGGGTGGATACGATTGGTACCACTTTGAACAGGACCCAACAGTGGTTTCTTTGCCCCGTGGACAGACTCGCCGTCGTCATAGAAATGTGGAATTTCCATCGCTGGCACAGAGCTGTAAACAGGGGAGATGAGCACCCGCAGCATTGCTCATTTGAGCAGGAAATCGCTTTAACTTGAGCTGAAACCAACAGGCAACTTTATCAGAAGCCTGCCCTTTTTGGGGGAGGAGGTATTGCTTAGTAGAGACTGTTCTGTCAAGCTATTGGCTAAATACCTAGAGGAATAGAGCTTTGGGTGGCCAAGAGAGGAAATGTGATAAATCCCCACCTGGTTAATGCGTTTCTGAATCGTCGCGGAACGTAAGCCTCTTTGCCAAGGCAGGGGAGAGAGAAATCCTTCATTTGCAAAAACGTGCGAATTGATGAGGAACCGGGAGGACGGCTCGTTCTGCATTGCGCAGAGCGAGAGCGGCACAGAGGGAGAGGGAAGAGAGAAAGAGAGAGACAGGGAGATGGGGGGGAGAGAGGGGGGAGAGGGAACAGAGGGAGAGAGAGCGATAAAGTGAGCGAGGGAGTGAGCGAGAGCGAGAGGGGGAGTTACATAAAGCAAAGATACAAAATACGAAATGATGAACGAAGCAAAGTGCCGACTACATCGAGCATCTTCTTGTTTCCACTGATCGTAAAAAGAAAAGAAAAAAAAGAGAGTGGGAGAGGGAAGAGAGGGAGAGACAGGGAGATGGGAGGGAGCGTGACAGAGAGGTAGAGGGCGAGGAGAAGCTGAAGCAGCCGGCGAGTTTCTCACGAGGGAGACGCGAGCTCTTGCCTTGTCCGGAGACGATGAGCATGAAGAGATTTGCGAGCGAGGACGCAGCAGCAACAGCGGCGGCGGCGGTGGCCGCAGTGCAACGGCCGCGTGTTCGACTCGCTGGGGAACTCGGGGTGTAGGCGAACATGCCAGAAAGGTCGGATTCGTGAGTGTAAATATGTCAGTTACATAATCATCGCATTGGTGCACGGACAGGCTTGCTGGTCGTCAAAAGCGTCGAGTAAACTGGCCGTGCACATTTGGCTGTCAACCCCTTATCAGTGCCCCTACATTATTACGGACCAATTCGGACAGTGTTTGTCATCCGCGTGCCCCTTTATAAATCTCAACGTTCATCCGACAAAGTCTCATCACGAGGGAGAAATACAAATAGGACGAAATCATTTTTGTCGCCCGCATTGAAACGGCTGTCCGCCGTATGGACCTGAAACCTCAATTTCCCTGTACAAGACTACGGGGTAAAAACCGCGTGGGTCGACAGCCACGCAGAAGTAAGCGAACGTACGCGGGATTCAGAATATACACTGCTGTGCGACCAGGTGGGATTTGTGAAACGTGCGTTATAACACGCACGGTGGAGCCGTGCATGTGTATACCACAGCGCGCGACGGGTCGTCATCGGCTACTGGTCTGCAATAAATCGGCGCTTTTGAGGCTCGTGAGTTATTTCCATACAAGTCCAGGACGTCAATGATAATACAAATAAAACACTCCCTCCACTTTTTTCCCAACCGTGCCATCAGAGACATGCCACTGGGAGCTCAGTGGCAGAGCAACGCATGCGACACCGCGCAAGAGTGCGGGCCGTGGAAGGAGATGCCACAGAACTGCTTTCAAAGTCCCTTCAAGTGACCTTTTATCCACACGATGGGGCACTGAATGTTCACACACTAGATAGAAAGAAGCGTGAAAACAATAAAGAAAATAAAGCGAAAGAAGCTCAGCACAGCCAAAGCAACAATTTTAATTGTCAGAACCGGAATTTGGCAAAAACAAATGGTAAAAAAAACAAAACAAATCTAATCAAGTGTGTTTTTGCGTGTGTACTTTTATGAGCAAGTCGAGTTTCAGGAACTCGCCAAGCTTGAGCCGCGACTTCACTCACGGGTCACTCGGAGCCAGCAACTCGGTGGTGACCGCTGGGTCGTCAAGGCGTCGTCCCTTCTTCACTCGCAATGCGAGGGCAGAAACAATCACATTGCGTGGACCGAACTTTAAATATATTTTATTTTTTAAAGTGGCCAATGGCGCTTCTTCATGGACCATTAATGGAGAGGCCAGAAAGATAAGTGTATAATAATAAAGGTTTGAGAATGCACTTTACACCGTGGGGCCTGAATTTAATTTTTAAAACGTTTTCTGATGACCAGTTATTATTTTAAATTGGTATATGAATAGTTACTCACGAGCTACTGTTCGGCAACTATTGATGTGCTAATATTCACGTGAAACCAACTGGTCATTCGAATACATTAGAAAAGAAAATGAACATGCAGTCTCAACCAACTCCAATCGTCCACTCTCTCTCTCCCTCTGTGGCCTATGTCGTTGTTTTGTTTGTTGAGTGTGCTTGTGCATCACTGCCAATACAGCAGGAGTGTTGTTTACCCAAAGTATTGCCTGATCAAACCCCTCTCTCGTGACTTGTTGCTGTGATCAGTCTCTCAAACGTCTCTCAATCCGAGCTCAGCATCCATGCTGTTTAAACTAAAGGGGTGAGGTGAGGGGATGCCCACTCCTTTTGATATCGCGCGTCACTTCAGTCACTTACCTTCACGTTTAAAATGGTGAAAATGCTCTCGTTAAATAGCGACACACATTTATTCCCACCGTGTTCGCCCAGTGGCTCGCCGAGCTACATTGGCCTCCGGTTGCCGAACGAATACGTCATGAGGTCGCACTCATTGCACACACACACACGGAACAAAGTGCCCGCCACAGATGAACCACAGTACCTCGCTGGTCTCGTCAAGGAGCATAAACCACCGTCACGCAAACTCCGCTCATCCTCGCAGCGACGGCGGCTTTTGGCTGACAGCCGTCGGACAAAGACGGTCGCCGCATCGCTTTCAGATGCGCTGCTGCGGCCGTCTGGAACGCTCTTCCTTCCGATATTAGGAAGCCACTGGAGCTACGCGCTTTTAGATCATCAAGATTGACAAACTCATTTCTTTAGAAACTGCTTTTTGTGTTTAGTTTGTTGGCCTTCTCCCGCACCTCCGATTAGCGCGGTTGGCTACGTAGCGGTGCTCGAAAGAAGTTCAACGCGCTTATGTACATTATTGTTGTTACACACACAAGACGGTACCTCTCAATAATAAGTCACTGCACGTTCACAGGAGACACACAGCTAAAGGGGGGGTGGGGGGGTAAGTAAGGAGTGACGTGGCTCAGGTGGGGGGAAGGAGGAGGAGGGAGGGGGGGGCGCTTTCGTGAAGCAGGTAGAGATCGTCGCAGCGTTGACAGCAGTCCCAATGTGCAGGAGAACGGTGGACTGGGGGGTTACGCACGCACGCACGCGCGGACGCACACAAATGTTCGCATGCCAAGAAAACAAAATAAGAATTCCGCGCAGAAGAAGCTTGCTAACACCGATTACAAAAATGTCTTACAGCACAGCTGCTTTTGTACATAAAATGAACGTATCAAAACGTGGACGCGAGTGTAAATATATATATACGTGTATTGAACCATGGACCATGGTGTATCAAAATCGTCAGTGGCGGCGCTACTTTATGCAAAACCTTAAATGTAAAAAACAAAAGTGATATGCGTTCAAAAGTCCCTCTGTAAAACCCCACTGACCAAATAAACCCAAGAGCGCTGCGTGGAATATTACAAAGGTTTGTGTGCACAGGGAGCAATACATCATCCGCAATACTTTTTGTTTAAAGATATTCGTTTTTTTTAACACTCAATTGCATATTTGTAGTAAACTAGATAATAAATAAATTAAACCGAACCTGAATTTGAAAATTCCATTATGACATTACAATGACCGACGCACGATCGCCTTTTTAAAGACCCCCCCCTCCCACCACCCACGGCTTTGACAAGAGCACATTTCAATTTGTACAGGGGAGAAGCGCCACAGGGACGGCACCTCGAGCTGGCCAAGCCGGCAGGAGACGCTCACTCCACACGGCCCGACCCAGGGGAGTTGAAAATCACGGTCTCACGCACCGCCACGACACCCCAACACGGTGCCCTCCCACGACACTGGCGAGCGCCACGCCGTCCCGGACGTGGCCGACCCGCAGCACCGCCGCTCTCGCTAGCGTCCACTTTCCCCGTCGGAGAAAACTGCGGCGGCTGCGTCGATGCCCGGCGGCGCGCAAAGACGAAAAGTTACGAAGGGTCCCATCCCATCGCGGCCCCGCGACCGCTCGGCGGTCACATGGCGGTATCCCACACTCCCTTGCGCTGCTGCAGCTGCTGCTGCACCTTGGCGGTGGCGGTAGCGGCGGCAGCGGCACGACCCTCCCCCGCCTTGCCGACTCCGTTCTCGATGGGTGGTCCGGGCTCGGCCGAGCCGTCACGAGGTCGCGGGGCGCGGGCCGCTCCGACGTCCACGCGCACGACGACCCCGGCCGCGGCGGGGGCGGCGGCGGCGGGGTGTGGGGTCGGCGGCCCTCCGTTCTCCGAGGGCCCGTTGAGGTGGGGGCCCGGCTCGACGCGGGCGCCCAGGGAGCCCTGCTTGCGCAGCACGGCGGGCAGCGTGCCCGGAGACGCGGACGCCTCGGCGGGAGGGCAGGGCTCCTCGCAGAGACGTCGCCGCCACTCCAGCACCTCGCGCAGCGCCGCCTGGTCCCGCTCCGTGCTCAGCTGCTGCCACATCTGCTGACCAAACAGGATTCTCGTCAGACTCCACGTCGACACCATCAAATAGCGACGCTGGATCGCGACAGTTCGCCAAATCACCAGAGTGGTAAATCCTTCACACCACCCCGCACCCTCCCCCCCCCGATGACGCTGATGACGGTGATGTCGAACCATGATCTTGCGACCTGGAAGTCTACTGCCCAACCAAGTAAACTATATCTCCTGCCCAGAGCGCAGACACAGAACAGTGAGCTCGAGGAACGTCACATCACGCATTGTGATATTCGACTGACGATGGTCCTGTCATGCGGCCGCAACATTAGATGACGAAGACAACGACGATGTGGATTCATCGATGAATAATTGATGATCGCGACAATGATGACGGCCGACGACGATGCCGACCTGTGGATGGCAATAATGATGCCGTCAATCTGATATTGTGAACGGCAGGTGTGACTTCCCCCTGCGCCAACGTGGAGTCGAGTAAAACGAGACACCAAAGTGACACCGCAACTTATCGTCTCGGATGGCACCACTAAATAGCACAATTAATGGCAGGTGGATATTTCAATGGTGGCGGGGGGGGGGTTAACATGACCCCTGTGGAGTTGAAGCCCCATCCAATTCATGTCACAGGCCATTGTGTTCCGTTTGCTGGTAATAACCGCAATGTATTCATTATAGCTCTCCTTGATTTCCCACAGTCAGTGTTCCGGTACCCTTGGGATCCGACCCCTGGGCTCATTATTTGCAATGCCGCTGCCGCTGTTGCGATGTTTTTTGTTGTTTGTTTTTGTTACGGAGGCGGCATTCACGGCTTGGCAGCAGGACACAGGGTGCTGGCAGCAGGAGGGGGCTAGGGGGCTCTCGTGGCCCACGGGAGGCACCAGAGCCAGCGGTGAGCGAGAGTCACAGCGCCGTGTCCCAGACAACTCTCACCAACAAATTGCCCGCGCAACTCACAAAAAAAATAAAAGCAAATCGGTCCAGTTTGCAGCCTCGGTCGCGATTCCCACGGCTTACGGGTGGGTTCAGCAATGACACTTTTCCCAGGTACACATCCGAGCCGAGCCAGCGTAGGGCCGACCATAGCAAGACATCTGAATCTGGCTCGAGGGGGCCAAGCAGGGCCAGGGGGTGGGGGTGGGGGGCGGGGCTGATGACGAGTGCGTTCGCGTACGACGTCAGCAGTGGAAAATCAACCCGCGCTCGGCTGGCTTGAATGTGCCATTCATTGGAAGAGAGCACACGCGAAAAAGAGCAATCAGCAATGAGCTACTTAAATGCTGTGCATCGGTCTCCAACACACCGTTCATGCTGCTGAAGCAGTAACAAATTGACACGTTTGTTCACCGCGTGACAACTTTCTGAACTGGCTGTGTCGGGCGGTAGAGGGGATGCACGACACACTTCGGAATTGTATTCACGCGATCTGCCCCAAAAGTCAATCATGAACCACAACATCGGTCGCGAAAGCCAATCTTTCAAATCTATTTTCCATCCTTACAACCTTTTAAAATGGATGGCGAACATTGATAAAAGATATTTCTGAAAGTGGCATTTCAATAATGAAGGTAGCACCATTTGTCTCTCAGGTTCACACTTGCAGAGGAGACTGGCGACACGTGAGCGACCCGTGGGAATTGAACCACAAACGAGAGTGAAATCGGCTCAGAGGCACACATGATGATGGGATACTATTACAACAGTACACTATACTATTATAACAGCAAACTATACTATTATAACAGTATATTATACTATTATAACAGTACACTTTACTATTGTAACAGTATATTATACTATTATAACAGTTCGCAATACTATTATAACAGTATACTAGTATAGTGTAATATGATATATTATAATATACTATTATAACAGTACACTATACTATTATAATAGTATACTAGTATAGTATACTGTTATATATACTATTAAACTCGTATCATATTCAGCTGCCATGTGACACTTGCAAATGAGACTCACCCTCGGCTCAAGTTCTAACCCCGGTTAAACAAAATAAACTTGAACACTGAAAACGAAACACCCATTCGGTATCATGTTCACATCGTTCCCAAAGTGCGCGCTCACACAAACACGCAGCGCGTAATGTAACGCGTCAACGGTGGCGCAATAGAAACCAAGTACTAAAGACAACCGCTAACACCGTACCTAATGGCAATGTTACTATTTGATACTCTTAATTATTTAACATTTTTCCAGGTAAGGCCCACTGAGGATTACAGATCTTTATCAGAAGCGACCTGGCCATCAATGACAGCTCAACAAAGTGGCTTATCGAGTGGAAATGTATGGCAGCCAGATGTATGTATGTTGAACTTCTTTAGTACCGTACGTAGCTAACCGCGCCAATCAGAGATACCCTAAACGCACGTCGATTAGAAATGTGGAGGGAAAAACCGGAGGACCCGGATAAAAATCCACACGACCACGGGGAGAGAGACACACGAACTCCAAATATACAGCAGCAGGCGTCAGGGTCGAGATCGAACCCACGACCTCCCGTACACCAGGCGAGGTCGTTAACATCTCGCCACGGCGGCGCGTTCGTGTACACGAACCATAAATACTGCGCGCCGACTCCTGCACAGTGGACGTTGGCAAAGATCGCGTGACGTTATTCGAACGTCGGTCAAAACAGAAGTAAAAAAAAGAACGGGAGGCAGAACAAAATGACCGTCCGCTGTCGTAAGTAGCACCGGCGATTTCTGCAAGAGCGGAATTAAACACGGTTTTCAGTGCGACGATGTCTAATTTGATCACATCACTCAATTGTGATAAAACCCACACTGGGACATTGTGCGCTACTGGCAGGAGGCAGCGGTGCTTGCGCTCCACCCCTCCCTTCACCCCCCCCCCCCCCTCCACGGAGCGCTCACTCGCTTGCTGCGACATTTGGTTGAGCACGACAGCAGCGCGGGTCAGCGCGACCGTGTTAGCAGCGAGCGGCACAGCGAGCGAGAGTGGGCGCAGCTTTCTCCCCGGGGAGGCGTGGGGCTTTGCCGGCGTGGGGCGCTCTAAGAACGGAGAGGGGGGGGGGGGGGGCACTGCCGCCCCGTGATGTCGCAGGCGAGGCCCCGGTAGGGTCACCGAGATAACTGCGGCTTATTCTACGACGCAAGCTTCGTGATAGTCATGCCCAGCGATTCATTCAGCCGGAAGAGTCCGGAACGCTGTTCCAGACATTATTTTAGCCACGCCACGCCACGCATAAATCTCATCTTATTTTGTAAATTTTTTTACTGCATTGAAACCTGTTCAGAAGATTGTCAGAACATAGGACTACAACATTATTTACTGTAATGTTAGTACCTTATGCCGACAAACCCTACTCCATCCAAGCCCTAATCTTGTTGGTAATTTAGCTAATAAATAAAAAAAAATTCGTTATTATCAAAACCACGTGAGAATTCACCGTGAATCAGTGCATCTGTCACCAAGGTAGCCCTGGATCACGTGCATGGTGGAACGGACAGGGCGAGCAGTGGGAGCAGCACCAAAGAGGGAGCGACCGCCCATTGAAATAGCAAAGGCGTATCCTAGGGGAATGCAGGCTTAGGAGGCAGTGTTTGTTGATGCAAAGAGAAATTGTGCCATCTTCTGTAACTTATACGTCATTAAAGATCCCGTGCACACAATGAGGGAGGCACACTCTCTGTCACAGCTCAATGGTGCACAATGTAAGCGTCACCTCGCCACGATTACTTTCTACCACCGAACCCAGGGCCGTCGTCGGCGGGGACTGGAAATGTCAAGCATCGTCGTGAGCAAAGGCACGCAAGTGCATCGACTTGTTTTGGAATTGTCAAAGTGGCAACGACAGATGGTGAGCCCTAATTACTTAACTTCTGGGTCTTGGGTAGAAGGTAAACGCGCAGCCACTGCAATTGCGTGCTCATGTCACTGCAGGTGGAATGGCCCCCACTGGGTGTCTCAGCAGTGCTGGCTCAGTATGTACGCTGACGTGAGCATTATTTGTCTCCTCAGCCACCCAGCTACTCTGGATACCTCGATGTCACAGGTGATGGGTGCGATGAAAAGTGCCTTTGACTCATGGAGAGTGTGGAGGTAGGAGGGGAGTGGTAGGGCGCTGCGCCACGAACTCGGCGACCCGAGTGCAATTCCCGCTCACGGTCTACATCAGTGACAATTATTTGAACCGCTCCTGGGCTTCCCCTAGGTCGACTCAGGCTTAAATGTGTACCAAATGGGGTGTGTAAACATCGCCGCTAAGGACACAAAGGCGGTCGGGCGTGGTGCTGGTCAGCCACCCCGTGCCGGCCTTCATAGGTGCTCGCTAACAGCACTTGCCCCAACAGTCAGTGAAGGCTATACGGGGGACCTTTGCCTTTGTCTTTTGTACCGTTGGGTGTGAGTGCCTCTAACAAGTACGGTGACAGGTACAAAACAATATTTACCCTTGGGTTAATCTGACCCAGAGTCTTGGCAACTATGTAGTCAAACACAATTTGAAGTCATTACATGATGCAAATTACCGAAGGATTTGTACTACGATGACGTTTTTACTGCATAAGTATATTTTTTCAAGTGGGGCAGGCGCGGGTTGGGGGGGGGATGAGGTTATAAGTCAAAACGGAAGAAACGAAAATGAATGCAAAGCAGAATAGGGGCAAGGTTCGTGAGCGGCATTAATCTCCGCTTTACTAAGTAGCACAGACATTTTTTTTTCATATTGCAGAATTAAACAAAAATCAAACAAACAAAACCCCAAACAGCCACCGTCAGCTTTTTCCACGTCAAATGTTCGGCCACGCGGCATCAGGACACACGAGGCTGTAAATATACCAGGGTTGATCCAAATGAGCTGTCACGCATCAAAACCGATGGTTAATAAGGAATATTTATATATAATGTAGAACCAGACGAGACAGACACCGAAGAGACATCTAGAGAAATAAATAAAACTCTGAAGACGCTTAAACTACAGCCACAACTTGACAAGAGGGAGTAGTTGAGAACTCAATGGGGATGACCCGAATCAGCGGACACATTTTGACTTTTGCAGCCTTATTTTAAAAAGTAGCAAGAGCCATGCCGGGCATAAGCCTAATTTAAAACTGTCGCTTTAAGCAACATTTTAATGACGTGGCACGGAATAAAATTGAATAACAGGGGGGGTGGGTACACGTCCTGCTGAAAAAAACGAGGTGTCATTTGTGGAAGAATAGGAAAAAAAAACGCTTTCCCAAATGTGGATGGTGGCACTTCTCATTTTAATTGACACTGAGGAGAGGGAAAGGATTAATGAGGGCCTGGTTGTTCGGGCACGACAGGCACCCGCGAACAGTCGAATAGACTGCGGGCACCGTGACCTGCTGCTTTGACTGGGGTCAAACAACGATAAATGATGCAGGTGGCAGCCTGGGTGGGGTCCGGGCGGGGGACGACGACGACGACGATGAACGCGGCTTTAAACGAGCGGCCTCGAGCCGAGCCCGGTGGGAATGCGCGCACCTGCCAGGGGAGGCGATCGTGGCGCCGGCTATTAACCCCCCGCTCCCCCCGCCGACTGGAGTACAACGAGAGCCCAGGAGTTGAAGGAAGGGGGGAACGAGGCCCCTTCAGCCCCATCTGTCTCGGCACCCTTGTCCCACCCGGGCCACGAACACCGTGTCCCCTACCCCCCCCCCCCCCCCCCCCGTCGATGGCAATTTGTGAACAGGCCACTCTCCCCTTCCACAACTGCCTACCCGCGTACAGATTCACGCACGCGCACGTGTGCACGTGTGCACGTGTGGGCGTGGGGAGCGGTGGTGTCGTGTTTAGCGCTACGCTGCGCTACAAACCCGGCGACCCGAGTTCGATTCCAACACCGGTGACGATTATTTGTAAGGGTCCTGGGCCTCCCCTAGGTCGACTCAGCCTCCAATGAGTACCCGGTGTGGTGTGTAAACATCGTCACTGGGAAGACAAAGGCGGCCCGGCGTGGTATTGGCCACCCACACCCTCATGTGCTGTGCCGGCCTTCATAGGTGCTCGCTAACAGCACTCGCCCCAACAGTCTGTCATGCCTATATGGGGGATCTTTGTGTGCGTATTGGTCCGGAGGTTCGGGCACTGCAACGAGAACCCACCAGAGTTACAATGTCTGCCACAGCTGACCTCCCTTAGGTTGACTCAGCTCTAGTATACGCCACCTTTTCGATGCCCGCGGGAAGGGAATTTTGCACCATCTGTGTCATCCACCAACCCTCCGCAGTGCTGGATTAGGGGACGCGAACTGCCACCACGAACAAATAATTAGCTGCATAATTCCCAAGTCATATTCAGGGCCGGATCAACACAGGGGCCATCAGGGGCTCTAACTCGGAGCCTCAGACTTTGAGGGCCCATCAATGAAGGAAATATCCTACTCTATGTTGGTTCCAATACAATGCTGTATCACTTTGATAAAGCCTAGCAGGAAATTGGGCTGTGACACGGCCTTGCGGTAGCGCGTTCACCACCTGAGGTTCATGGTTCGAGTCCAGTGGCTGCCCTGGTTAATACTAGCGACCCGTGTATTTTATTCCTGTTTAGCGCAGTGGTTGTCTCACTGCGCTCCGAATCCGATAACGCGAGTTCGATTCCCGCTCGCAGACTACAACGGTGACGGACATCCGAACCGGTCCCGGACCTCCCCTGGGTCGTCTCAGACATAAATGAGTGCCTGGTGATGTTGACGCAAAGTCAGTCGAGCATTACATTCTGTCCACACCACTCCGTTGTGGGCCGTGCCGGCCTTTGCAGGCGCTCGCAAGTGGCGCTCGCCCCACCAGTCCGTGCAGGCCACAATGTTTGTGCGTGGGGGCGAGTCTGCGGGGGCAGCCTGCCCGTGCCTGGCGCTACCTGCTGTTTGCGAGCAGCCTCGTGCTGGGCGCTGGGGGCCCGGGCGACGGGTGGAGGCGACTGGGTGCTGCCGACGGCGCTTGGCGGCTGCTGCTGCTGCTGCTGCTTTGGCTGTGGAGGACGGCTCCCTGGGGGTGCCTCTGGCCCATTGGGAGCTGTGTGCGTGTGGGTGAATGCGTGTGCGTGCGTGTGGGTGGGTGCATGCGTGTGCGTGCGTGTGCGTGCGGGTGTGTGCGTGTGGGTGCATGTGTGTGGTCATTGGTGAGCATCGGGGAATGGGGAGATGAAGCAACAACAACAACAGTTCCGTGAGAATTGCTTGTTGAAGAAGAACGCGATTTAGTCAAAATTGTGCTGTTGTCTGTTCCTATATTAGGTACACAGAGTACGACACTTAACAATCGTCATTAAGCATCATCGTCAAACCATTCAACACCAACCAAGAATACATCTCCATCAAACTAAACCGAATCACCTTTAAACTCACAAACCATCACCTTTAAACTTGGAAACCAAAAATTTGTTTCCTTGGATCTTCCTTCGTCTGCCTTTCTTTCAACGTCTTCTTTAATGTCTCTCTCTGTATTGGTCTCTCGTCTGCCCCTTCTCTCTCGCTGTCTCCCTGTGTCTCGAGGGCCCTGCTTCCCCCACACAGAAGTCTCTGCCCATCACCAGAATTCCATTGCTCACCAACGTATGATCACCAACTAATCACTTAATTTTTGTATGAATGGTCTTTAAAAGTATTTTGTCCCACTACAACTTTTGTTACGGGAAATGTATTACACATCGATTCTGTTTGTGCACTGCGTTCGATTTTTTTCTGCAACCCAGTTTTTTTAAACTCTGATTTACTATTTGCTTAACCGTCGTGCATAAGCTGTTATCCGTGTTTTTTTCTCACTTTAGTCATTTTGACCACCCACCTCACCGTTACAAACGTCGCTCTCCCTGTCGCTGCAGCACTCGCCTGGTTCAACAAAACAAACGACAAATTCAAACGCAGAACCCGGACTCGACAAATCCCATTCGCCCTCAAAACGCCGTAGTCCGCCCGCGGGTCCCACCGGCGTTCGGTGCCTCTGCCGGCGCCGTGCTGCTGGGTTTGGGCATCGCGCTCCTGGTTCCGTTGCTGGCGGCGGTGGGGGCGGTGGTGGTGGTGGTGGCCGTCCCCTCCTCGTCGAGGCTGGGGTTCCCGTTGAGCGAGTCGCTCCCCTCTGCCACGGGCAACGCTGTTTACGATCGCCGCGCGGGAACAACGCCGGGGTGTCACGCGAGAACGCGGTTGTTTTCCGACTTTTTCACGTTACGATTCGCACGGTAAATGTACGCGCACGTCTGTGTGTGTGGTGGAACTTCTTTCGCACCACCTTACGTAGCCAACCACGCTAATTTGGGATGCGGGGGAAGGACAACAAATGAAACACAAAAAACAAGTTCTAATACAATTCGTTTTTTTTCAATGTGTATCTAAAAGCGCACAGCTCGAGTGGCTTCCTAATATCGGAAGGAAGAGCGTTCCAGACGGCTCGCAGAAGTGCATCTGAAAGCGCCACGCAATGCGGTGACCACCGTCTTTGTTCGATGGTGAGTTGAAAGTTCGAGGGTTAGCTAAGGGTCAAATGGGTGGGAGAAGGTGGCTCCTTCTCGCAGTGGGCCCACCCGTTCCGTGTCCTCACGTCACCTTAAGCGCAGCGAACGCCGTCATCTAGGCGAACATTGACGGGCCGATGCGTACACCCTCCTTCACAAGGGGAGCATTGAGGGCACAGGCCACAGTGCAAGTGCGATCTGCAAACCTCACTACATCTTACTTATCTGACGTAATTGCGGAATTATAGCATTCTTGTGGTTTTACCAAGACAACCTCGTGGTGTTACCAGGACAATCTCGTGGTGTTACCAAGACAACCTTGTGGTGTTACCAAGACAACCTCTGGGTTTTACCAAGACAACCTCGTGGTGTTACCAAGACAACCTCGTGGTGTTACCAAGGCAACCTCGTGGTGTTACCAAGACAACCTCGTGGTGTTACCAAGACAATCTCGTGGTGTTACCAAGACAACCTCGTGGTGTTACCAAGACAACATCTGGGTTTTACCAAGACAACCTCGTGGTTTTACCAAGATAACCTGCTTTAATCACAGGCGGTCGCCCGGATTCAGGATCTCAGCTGTGCTCCAGCACATGCATGATTGTGTTTGTTAGAATCAAGAAGCATTAATCATCACCATCAGCCATGATCTATCCACTGTTGGATGAAGACGTCCCTAAGCCACCGACATCTCTCACAGCCTTGCAACGCAGCAATCTAGCAGTAGCAATAAAATTTTCTCCGGGACCTCTGGTCTTTTCCTTCACATTCAGAATCAACACGCGTTTAGAGAATTTGGCTGCTATAAATTTCCACATGATGACAAGCCACTTCGTTGGGCTACTATTTGTGGCCAGGTCGCTTCCGAAAAAAACAGCTGTGTAGCTCAGTGGGCCTTACCTGGTAAAGTAAAAAAAATTGTTTAGTTTAATTCCATTCCTGCAGGAACCGTGGACGGCTCTACCAGTCCACAATTGCCACTCACCGTTCGGCTGCCTGATGCGTCTCCCGGCCGACGACCGGCGCAGTGGCAGCTTCCCCGTGCTGAAGATGCTGTTGAGTTCGTCCAGGGGGCTTGTGAGGGCTTGCGCCGCAGGGCCGCATGCCGCCGCCGCCGACGACGCCGCCGTCCACCGCGGTCGCTCGGCTGCCGCGTGGCACCCGCCGGGCGCCCGCACCCCGCGCCCGTCCTTCCGGCCGATCGCCGGCAGGGTCTCGCCTGACGCGGGACGCGCGCCGCGGCCTCCGCCGGTCTGCCCGTCCTTCCCCTGGGCCTTCGCGGCCGAGTCGGCGGTGTCCTCGGAGGCCTTCGCGAAGTCGGCGCCCGCGGGGCATGACCTCGCCGCGCCGGACAGGGCCTGCAGCCGCTGGGCCTTGCTGCTGGCGGCGCGCGCCAGCTCGTTGGGCGAAGGCAGCGAGGACTGGCGGCAGCGCAGGGACGCCGCGGTCGCTCGCGGCCCGCGCGGCGGGGCGGCCGCGGTGGCGGTCAGGGGCGGGGGAGGGGGCGGCGGAGGGGGCGGCGGGGTGGTGGCCCTCGCTGCGACGCCGAGCGCCGGGGCCTCCTCGTCGCCGGGGGACGCCGGGCCGGCGCCGTCCGGCGGCCGCGAGACGTAGCCGATGATGGCCGTGTCCAGGATAGGCAGCTGCTTCACCTCCAGGGGCGTGAGCGGCGACTCGTCGAAGGGCGGAGGGCAGCAGTTGGAGCCGCTCGTGGGGAAGACGAGCAACGGCGGGCGGTGCGGCAGCAGGTCGGGGAACGGCGCCGGGATCCGGTACGACGGCGGCGGCGGCGGGGACCGCGCCAGGAACGGCGGCGACGGTGGCGTCGCGGCCGCCCCCTCGCCCGGCCCGTCGTCCTCGTCTCCCGCGCCCCGCGGTGGCCTGGCGAGGCGCCCACGGCGCGAGCCCCCCGAGTCGTCCGGCCCGGGGCTCGGGTGGAAGTACTTCATCTCCTCGTACTCGGACTCGGCCGCCTCCGGCGTCGAGCCCCTGCCGAAGTCGCCAGCCATCTCGATGTAGACCGGCTCGCCGTCGTCCGCCTCCTCCGCCCAGAGGCGGCCGGGCTCGCCTCCGGCCGCAGACGGCGCGGGCGGCTGCGGCTGGGCGCCGATCTCCTCGTAGGAGCCGCTGAGCCGCGTGCTGGGGTTGCGCTTGGGCTTGGGCGGCGGGTTCTTCTTCATGGTGCTGTAGTCGTCGCTGTGGGGCCGCGGCTTCAGCTCTGTCGGGGCGCGGGACCGCAGCGAGGGTTGTTTTACTGACCGTTCACGAGCAAGTCGTCGTACGGCTGACCAGCTGTCAACACGGTCGCCAGTCAGATCACGTGAGTGAGGGTTGACCGTGTGGATCTCGTGCATAGCTGCTAGGTTAACATGAAGCCACCGCATCTCTACTTTTGGTAGACCTCAATGCTTTTGAACAGTCCCTACCCAATAAGTATAAAGGGCCCCTATTACAGGGCATTATTTTGGAACGGTTTTAGGCAATAAAGGTAAAGGCGCCATAAGGAAGAGAATTGCGTTGAGCTAAAATGGATCAGAATTGAGATAAGTTCACTAGAGAGTTCCAATTAAGCTGACTGCCACTTGGCGTCTGACGTTTGACAAGATCAATCACATGTGGGGCGATTTGGTCAAAGTGAAAACTCTCGCCACTGCTCCAACGATGGGCGGTAGCACATATTTATGGGCTTTCAAGTGATTTAAAAATCGGATGGCTACCTTCTAGGTACGATTTTAAGATTTTTAACGAACATTTCAGGTGCTTTTTCACATTTTTTAAAATCATTTACATGACATTACAAAACTTACATAATTTAGCGCTGACACCTATTTTGGTAAAAACAGCACGGAAATTAAGACATTGATGATGTCATATCCTGTGACATCATACTATCGGATGAATCTGAAAACGAGGTCTTCTACGGATCTTCCAAAATCATCTCGCTACCGTGGCGCCCACGGTGGCGAGGTAGTCGGTTCGATCCCGACCCTGAGGTCTGCATATTTGGTGTTTGCATGTTCTCCCCGTAGTCGCGTGGATTTTTCTCCGGATCCTTAGGTTTTTCCCTCCACATTTAGAATCAAACATGCGTTTAGAGTAATTGGCTGCTATAAATTTCCACGTGATAAGCCACTTCGTTGAGCTATCATTTGTAGCCAGGTCGCTTCTGAAAAAGGGCTACATAGCTCATCGGGTCTTACCTGGTAAAATAAAAACATTTTAATAATTTATCTTCAGAATTTTTGCTAGATCAATCCTAAAAATAAAATTGACAACACATTCCTCCCAAACGCTGACCTGCCCTTCACAAGAACCAATCTGAGTTCACTACCCACCATCTATTCCCCGCCACTTGGCATCTCACCGGACTTGTCGAAGGGCTCCGCCTGGTTCGTGGCGCCCGCGGAGGAGGTCCCGCCAGTCCCCACCGCCTCGTACGACGCGCTGAGCCGCGTGCTGGGGTTCCGCTTGGGCTTGGGCGGCGGCTGCCTACGCGGTGAACCGGCCGCCCCTCCGCCGGACCCCGGCGCTGCCGCGGCCACGCCGCCCACCCCGGTCGCCCCCTTCCCTCCGGCCGCTGCCGCCCCCCTCTCGCTCCCCGTCGTCACCTTCTCTCCAGCCGCCGCCGCCAGCGAGTGGAGGGACGGCGAGCGTGGGATGGAGCGGCCCGCGGGACGCAGCGCCGCCGCCGCGGGCAGAGTCAGCGAGCCGCGGCCAGCGCCGGACGGGCCCTCCGAGCCACAGCAGCAGCGGCCCGGGCCGGTGGCGGCACCTCCGTCCCTCCCTCCGTTCGTCGCTCGGCCTCCGCAGGTGCTGCGAGCGTGGGGAGGGGGGGGGCAGGGGGGGGGCAGGGGGGGGGGGGGCGGGCGACGGCGTTCACAGAAAAGCACCGTCGGTCAGTTATCGGTTATCCCTCGACCGTCACGAGAATCGTGGCGCCGCGCGTTATCGGGGCACCGCGCGTTATGGCTCAACGATCGGTCGGCTTTCTCCAAAGTGTCCCCCCCTCACCGCGTTCCTCGCTGCCGACGTCAACTCTAACTTCACCGTTCTGTGCTCGACCGCTGCCTCGCACTGTTGAGCCGTACTCTTCCATTGTGGCATCCTCACCTTCTCCCTCCCCCGACGCCGAGTTACCAGCACCAGGCGAGTGCGCTTCGTGTTCAAACCACGCCGGGCTCAATGTTTCTCTACGCTACCTAGCGATGGTTAAACCGGCTCGCGTGCATGCCGGGAGACGGCGGCGTGGCCCTCAACCGACAGCGGATTGCCTCCACCTAAGATATGTGGACGGTCGGTATCGCAGCTTTGGCCGCCGCCCGCGACGTGCAGAAGTGGGAGCGGCGGCTCGCTCTGAATGTCAAACGGCCTTTCCTCCCCTCCAGAGACGCGAAGCATCGCCCACTAGGCTGTGCGGCGGAGGCAGCATGGATGAAAGTACAAATGTCTGCTTTGCCCCCCCCCCCCCAACAGGATAATGCAATAGAGAACATATTGTGAGGGCACAGTAAAAAAAAAACTCGGTACATTAGTCAATAACACTGCGTTATAATGAACGAAATGTATACATAATAGGTGACGTTTCGGGCAATGGCCCTTCTTTATTGCACGTTTATTTGCTACGAAGAAGGTCCAATGGTAGAAATGTCGCCTATAACAGTCGACATTTAATTTTAAGGCCACAGTGTGACCACAGTGTTAAGGCCACAGTGTCATTCACAAAGGCACAGTTCTGATAAAAGCAACGCATGCTCACATTGCACCGGTGGGGGAAAGAGAGAGGGCCACTTCTCATCCAAGCACACCGTGCGGAATAAAGAAGAATGCAGACGTAGGCACAGGCGATCCTGCACTGAGATGTTTTGACCACGGGCACCGAGCAGCGCTCCTCATGGCAGGAGGAGAAGAGGCCAGAGTCCCCAGAGTTGTGTACGAGGAGAGCGACACTCAAAGCTCCACACAGACTCACGGAGGATCCCTTGCCGATCGGCGTGCTGCCACCTGCACGTCACCTGGCAGCCCTCCTCTCCCTTCCTCTGCCTACCTCCACCCTCAACTCCCCCCCCCCCCCCCAGTGTTCCCTTCAAGGCACCAGACACCCTGAACGTCGTCCCGTTACGTCAACGAAAGCTCGTACCGCGGAGAAATTCTATTCTGCATCCACCGCGATGGTGGCAGAAGAAACGATTTACACATTGGAAAAGATGCAGGCGAATGCATGCGAGGTGACGATGACGATGGCGGTGACGCCGACGACGCCGACGATGGCGGCGTTGGTGCCGGCGGCGAAGCCTGATCACGGCGGCGCACCGCACGGCTGACGGCCGTCACCCGCAAAGCAGAGGTACCGCCCGTCAGGCGGGGGGCGGGGGGCAGGGCGGAGATGACACCCGCGGCACTCACCCCTTGGCGGGGTCACCGCCGGCCAGACCTCGGCGCGCCGCGGCCACGGCCCTGGCGGTGGATCCCCGCGCCCGGGCGTGCGAGCGAGCGGCGCCGCTCGGTGCCGCCGCGGCCGTGGACGCGCGCAGCCCCGCGTCCTGCGCCGAGCCCGGGAAGCCCTCCGCGCACGCCGAGTCCCAGCGGCGCATGGCCAGCCGCTGACGCAGCCGCTGACGAGCTATGAAGCGCCGAACCGCTGTCGGGAAAGGAACGAGGCGGGGTGGGGGGCGACAGAAAGAGAATGGGGGGGGGGCGGGGGGGGAGCAGCGGCAGGGTTACGGGGGGGGGGGGGCGGCCCACGTGAAAGGACGGCATGGAAATGGGGTCTCTTTACATATGAAAGGCACACGTGGGACCCAGGGACCGGGAGGATTGGGTCTGACACTAGCACACAGCTGGCCTTGTAAACAGGGTTTTTTTTAATGTTTTTTTTTGCGGGGAGTGGTTTGTGTTTTTTGTTGTTGGGCGACTGGCTGAGGCACGCGTGCCATATGGGCTGTGCAGCCCCCCCCCCCACCCCTGTGTGCGCTCGCGATTGGGAATTAAAACGCTGTCTGGTGGGGGCGCCGAGGCTCCCTCGAATGCTTACAAAGTCAAATTTTCTCTCGCCCCCCACCGTGGCAGAGAATAATTTCTCAAAGCGGCGCGACGCTCGTCGCGATTGGCCACCGCGCTCTCCCTCCGCGTCGCTCTCGCCGCCCACGGTAAACGTTCCCAACAACGCGGGTTTAACGACGAAATCATATTTTCGTGATCTAAACCAAGAAAGAAAATCTCTAGTACGTTCGCAAACGCGATCGCGTTGCGGGATTTGAGATTATTTTACCGATGGCCGGCGGAGATGCGGCGGGTTTCTTCAAGACCGGCGAGATATCGACCGCAGATTTAAATGCAACGTGCGCGTGTCTGCGTGACACCGCGCAGAGAGGCACGTGAGTTTACGCTTAAGGACACGGGTCGTCTTAATCGTAAAGTCATGCCAGCCTCGAGAACTCTTACGGGAGACCCTTGTTCTTGGATTTTAAACTTTTCTGATCAGCTTCATCTTAAATAACAAAACATTTCGTAATTTTTGCCGCGACGCATAAAACATGTGCGAACACGTTTTACGATTTGATTAATTCACCGCGGAAAGCACCGAATCCGAGAAGACCTTAGAAGCTAAGCAGCACCGAGCCTCGATAGCGCTTGATATGTGTTAGTTATTTTAAAAATTGTGCATTATTAAACATATGCCTTTGTTTGTTGTTACAGCGGTAAGTCAAGAAAGGTCTAAGTCTGTGCTCTCTGGTTTATTGAGTGAAGAGTAGGCCTATGTCCTTGCCCAATCATGGCCAGCTGGACCACCACGGTGGTGAGATGTTCACTACCTCGCCTGGTATGTAGGAGGTCGTGGATTCCCGACCCGACGCCTGCTGTATATTTGGAGTTTGCATGTTCTCCCAGTGGTCATGTGAATATTTCTCCGGGTCCTCCAATTAACCCTGCTGCTAGAAATTTCCACGTGATAAATCATTTGTGATCAAAAGGTCACTTCTGAAAAAGAGCTACATAGCTCAGTGGGACTTACCTGGTAAAATAAAAATAGTTTAGCTTTAAATAGTTTTTTTTTAACTCTACACACACACAAGGTGGCCACCATGCCCATTACATCAGATGTTGTGGGCACTGTGTGATGAAGTATACGGAAGGCCGACACTTCTTGGCATGATGTCATTTGCCACATGGGATGCGGATAACCGAAGTAAACTCAAATTGATATTGTAAATAACGGTACCCCCCCCCCCCCCGCTCCAATGTTAATTTAGCCAGGCTCGTGTGACAGACACGGGCTGGCACATTCACACGCTACTCAACAACAACAAAGTGCTTGCCACTCGTCAATGAACTACAATAACTCGCTGATCTCATCAAGGAACATGAACCTTCACGCAAACTCCGGTCGTCTTCACAGCAGCGGATTTTGGCTGGCCATCGATCTAACAAAGACGGAGGTCACCGCATCGCACGGCGCTTTCAGATGCGCTTCCGCGGCCGTCTGGAACGCTCTTCCTTCCGATGTTAGGAAGCCACTGGAGCTAAGCACGTTTAAATGATCTAGATTGAAAACGCCTTTCTCTCGAACTGCTTCTTGTGTTTAGCTTGTTGCCTTTACCTCGCACCTCCAGTTAGCGCGGTTGGCTACGTGCGGTGCGAAATAAGTTCACCGAAACGTACGTGCAGCAGCAACTGACAGACACATGGGTGGATTAAGATAAATGTTTGTTTTCATCTGGTGATTAAACCAGTACCCCCCTCTCCCCACACTTTTTTGCGCAATGTTTGTTGAACGTTGTAATTAATTTCTCCAGAGAAGCAAATATTTATCACACAATGTGTCCTGACCGTTGCCTTCCATGTGTTAGCCTTCTTTTTGAGCTCGGCAAACAGAGATTGCAAACCGAGAGACAAGGCAGTCAAAGTGGAGCCGCGAGCTGGAAAGACACCGAAGTTGGCTCACCACCAACAGCTTCCGAGGAGCATTGCAAATTGAGAGGTTGAAAATAAACTGACTATAAATGATCATTATCATCATATCATCAACATAAAATAAAATTACTGAAGATTAATTATCATTTTGTTTGTTGCGGTTGCACCCGACTCAAGAGCCGCATGGCTCACAGGCCTCTACCTAATAAATGAAACTTCAAACTTGAAAACTTGATAATCACCATGATTATGTCCTTTATTTTTAACCAAGCAAGAGCTAAATGACTCGAAAAAGTACGTTTTAAATGTAGACCTGGGGTAAGACAGCATGAAACAAAACACTAAGGTAAAGGTCCAGCCCTGCGATTGCTTGCTCACACCACCGCTGCCAGAAGGATCATCACCAGAGGGAAGTCTCAAGCGCCTCTCTCGAGGGTATGGGCCTACTCTTCCATTCTGGTCAGGCGTCTTGGGAGAGTGGGAATACCCACGTTGAACCCCACCACACATGACCATCGACTAACTGCGATGCCCCATAGAATACGCCGGCAGATTGGATCGCCAACCTCTGGATTTCAAATATGACACAAGGTTGTTGCACTTATCATTCATAAAGTTCACGACCAATTTTACACTGATAACAATCCCCATGCGATAATACACGGCACATCCATAAAGTAGGCATTTCACAAAGCCGTCGATGCATTGATGCAAATCAATTCTCACGCCAACGATGTTGGCATTGAGATGGGTGTGTGTGTCTGAAAATCAATTATTCATGATTCGTGACAATTACATGCAAATGATGTGACATTGCAGGCTAACAAGAGAGAACAAATGAGCGGCAACAAGAGACAGAGAGCCAGTCAAGCCGAGACGAACGTGAAACATTCTGAAATCAAAACTACGATGATGAACCTCGACAATTACGTGCCGAAGAAAACACACGCCATCCTGTCCCTCTCATTGTTGTCGTTCACACTCACGAGTTTCCTCCCGAGTGAGTGGACATCCACTTAGGGCGACTTGGGGCCGTTGCGTGTGATTGCTGTCCTGGCTACGTACGGTGCTGAAGTACATACCACCATCATCATCACCACCACCATCCTTACCACCATCATCATCATTACCACCATCATCATCACCACCATCATCATCACCATCACCATCACCACCACCATTATCATCACCACCACCACCACCATCATCACCACCACCATCATCATCACCACCATCATTATTTCCCAAGCTCTGCAGTCCTCTATATATAAACCTATTTTAGGCAATTGTTTTTCACCTGATGACGATTGCTTGTGTTGCGATCGAAACGTCGTGACATTGTTATTATTTTTTTTTTTCTATCTACGTGGCTTTACCGAAAGACCCACAGAATATGAATACAATTAATACGTGTTTATACACGTGGAAGGAAACCGGAGCACCTAGAGAAAACCCAGTCATGCGTAGGGCAACGCTGTATCCCACACAGAAGGAACACATGGTCTGTACATTGATGTGCTGCTTTCTCTTGGTGATCCAACTACCCTCGCTGCCTCCACAATGGTGGATTACAGGCGAAGTGCATAGCCAATCATCGCCCACATACAAGTGATTTTTTTGGAATAAAAAATATATCATAAAAAGCTTTATATGAAGGTATATACAGCCCCACTAGGGGCCTACTCTCCCACGCTGACCAGAAGTCTTGAAACAGTATTATTATTACTACTACACGATTAATCATACGCACGAATCGTATACACTCAACGCACTTATTTTGGCAGCTGCTCTTGCGTGCGCTGCTGGGATCTCCTCCCTTGGAGCCGCGGCGAGAGAGAGGAGAGGAGAAGGAGGTAAGAGGCTCAGGGATGCGCGGTGGATGCGTGATGAATGACCAGCGTATTTATCAAGCCATTTAATGCGCTAATCCCACCTGACACCCCCCGCTAATGTGGCAGCTGGGGACGTCTGTCCAGAATGGGGCTTCCTGGCAGATTACCCTCATTATTATCATTACTGTGCAACACAACCACCGTGCATTATATAGTCATTGAGTTTTTAATAAGTGGATGTTTGTGCGATCCCACGCACCAGCCCTGCACGTTTGCAGACAATGTGCCGAAATGCATTTCGAAGCGACGATTTCACGATTTTATTTGTTGCTGTTGCTAGCTCGGACCCACTGAGCTACATAGCGCCTTTTCAGAAGCGGCCTGGTCACAAATGATAGCTCAACTTAGTGGCTTATCACGTGGAAGTTTATAACAGCCAGATACTTTGAACGGATGTTTCTAAAAGGCCTATCTTCCTTTCTCATTTTCATCGAGTGTGACGGTGGCGGGTTTCACGACACATTTATATATTTACGCGATCTAACCACAAAATAATCTGTATCATGAAGGAGGTAATTAGTAGGAGTCTCAACGCGGCTGGAGAAATGACACCTCGATATTTACAACATGTCAGAGGATCGTCGTCGTTCACCCGGTATCCCGTCCCTTGCTGCGCACACGGAGTCTTCTGTCCTCTTACTCATAATCAACGTCTTTGGGTTCGATCGCGTTATTTATAAATGTGTCGTAACCCTCCACCACCCGACACGGCCAATCAGCAAAAAAGTGTCACGTTGACAAAAGACAAATATCTTCTTGATTCTTTCGGTAAAGTCACGTAGAAGGGAAATAATAAAATAAAATAAAAAATATAATTAAAAAAATATAATCATAA